CTCCCGGCCCCCGCGCCCCACCAGCTCCTCCTCCATGCGGGCCTTCTCCGCCTCCTTCTCCTCACGCCGCTTCTGCACCTTCTCGATCTCAGACTGGGACCGCCAAAAAGGGAGTATGGGAGGAACGGAGGGGTTTGACTTTCGCATCGCCATGGGCAGGGGGAGCCGACAAATCCAAGGGTCGGGACACCAGGCGGCCGCACGCATGGTGATGGGGGAGAAGGCGCACACACAGCCCTCGCGGCCTCGGCCAGGGCCCCGCAGCGCGGCACTCCTCGAACGGACTGCCGACGCGCACCATGCGTTCGCGCTGCTTGCCGGCCTCTGCTTGGACCGTGAACTCGCGGACGCTCTTTCCAGATTGCAGGTCCTTCTCGACCTTCTTCACCCACACAAACCTGGGGGGGGGGGGTGGGCGCACGGCAGGCGGCTGCAAGTCAGGCGCGAGCGGCGCCGCATGACGAGCGCATCACGCCGATGCGAAAGCATGCTCTGGCGCAAGCGGGCGCCTGCAGCCGCGAAGAGGTCGCGGCAGCAGCAAACGTGGCGTGCAGCGGCCACAGTGCGACGGCTGGCAGGGGCTCCCTCAACGCACTTTTGCGGCGCTGTGCCCTTCTGCGTCTGCTTGTCCCAGTACTCAGCGACTTTCTTGGCCTGCGGGAGGGGCGGTCGGCGGGTGAGCGGGGCGCAGCCGGCCACACGGCTCGTGGCGCTTGCGGTCAACGTGTCCCGACGGCCCACACCCCAAGCATCGCCCCCAGGATGCTGCTGTGCGGGTGCAATGGCAACCGCATGTCCCCTGCCATGAACGCCCTGAGCCGGCCCCACCATTTTCTCGGCCTTCTGGCGCTTGCGGTGATCATCCGAGTCGCTGCCCGAGTCTGGGCTGCTGGACGGCTCGCGGCGCCGCTTCTTGTGCTTGTCCTTCTCCTTGTGCTTGTGCTTCTTCTCCTTCTTGCGATCCTTGTCCCGCCCCATGGCTGCACTGAGCCTTCCCAACCACCCCCTCGGCTGCTTGTGGGGCCTCCACCGCCCCTACCTTGCGAGCTGTTGCTGAGGCTGTGCTGCTGTGCTGCTTGCCACTGCACCCGCCGCGTCAGCTGTAGAGGCTGGCCCCGCCCGATATCGGCACGCTCACGCCCTCCTCATGATACTGAATGTCCCTACGCAAGATTTCTGGAGTTTGAGGGGTGTCAGGAGGGTAGATTGCTGCTTTGGATGATGGCACAGATCACTAACAGGTGATCGATCGCATTCCCGAAGAGACAAACGTTTCGGCAGTCTGATTGAATTGAATGCTCAGAAAGCACCAGCTCGCACACTCAATATCCGCTCACCTGACACACCTGATGAGACCGTATGGTAAGTGGACGTTCACTCCTCTTGAACAGCGCGCCACACCATACATTCTTGATACCACGCTATCATATACGCGCCTTCTCCCGCAGCCTCGCGTCCCTCAGCTCGATCTGCACACACCCGAAGCCTTCACATCGTATCCTGACTTACGAGTCGTTGTTGATTGTACTTATTTCAGGCCTTAGAAAGCCCCAGGCGCGAACTGAGAGGAGTGCGCGGTCGGCCAGAGCTGTCAAAGCCGACTGCAGTGCTGCACACCCATGGTTCGTCCAGCCAGCGGCTTCACATAGGGCGCGGTCGCGTTTCTGTCGTTTTTGGAGCCTCATCACCTCACCGCCACACCCGCGCAGGCCTCGAAGGTCATCGCGCAGCTGCTCGTTGCCGGCGCCACGACGTTGCTGCGTGCCGGCTCGCAGGCGTTTGCCAAGGCGCTGCAGAGTGAGCCCCTGTTCATGTTGGCAGAGTATGTTTCTTTCAAGGAAAACCATGTGCTGCACAGTGCGCTGCTGCAGCATTCCATGTGGATTGGCTCGGGCGGCCGGGTGGTTGTGGCGAAGAGGACTGCATGTGCAGGCGGCATACCAGGCAGCCGCACCTGGGCTTCCCCTTTCCCCACCCATTCCCGTGCCCGCGTGCTTTGCTGCTGCCTTACCCCACCCGCAGACGCGCAGCAGTCTGGCGTGGCGCAGGAGGGCGTCAAGGCCGCGACGCGAGGGGCGTCGATGAGCGTGCAGGAGGCGCAGATGATCCTGGGCGTCAGCGAAAAAGCGCCCTGGGCAGACGTGATGAAGGTGAGAGGGGTGTGCGTTAAAGACGAGTGTGCCCGAGAGCGCGCTTTGCTTGTGCACCCTGTGCGTGCATTGCCCTGCTGTAATGGTCTGCATCGTAGGAACAAGTCAGCAGGTTGACGGGCGGCGCGAGGGCCCGGCTGACAAGCAGCGTCCAGGACGGCAACACCAGTGCCAGCAGAATTCAGCTAGCAGCGGAGGGCTGACTGCTGGTAGTGCGGCTTTTCTTTGCTCCAACAACACGCACCAGCAGCAGTCGCAGCAGTTTGCCAGGCAGGCAGCCCACGTATTGCCGTCCACTCCTCCCCGCGCAGCGCTACAAGCACCTGTTTGATGTGAACGAGAAGCACGGCTCGTTCTACCTCCAGTCAAAGGTGTACCGCGCTTGGGAGGCGTTAGACGACGAGTACACGCGGAGAGGGCTCAAGCCCCCTGGCACGGAGGACCCCGCCGCGGCGGCAGGGGCAGAGGCACAGGGACAGCAGCAGCAGCAGCAGGGGCAGCAGCAGAGCGACGGCATACGAGATGAGCAGCAGCGGTAGCAATCGAGTGCAGAGTAGTTCTTATTCGTTGTCAATTACTGTTTTTCTGTCCTACGTGTGTGTGTGTGTGTGTGTGTGTACGTGTGTGTTTTCCTGCACCTACAGCACCTTCGCTGCGGCAAGGCTGTGCCCTCGCCCCTTGCTTTGCGAGCACTGAAAACGACGGCGCTGCTCGTGAGCGGGCCTTCTTTCATGCCCCCAGCAGGTCTTTGTGCCGCAACCTGGGTAAACACAGATAAGCTCAACATCTGTCAAGTCCTCAAAGCAGCTGCATGTTGCTTTGCCATCATCACGAGAGCCACACCGGCTGCAGACCTGGCTGCAGACCGTGGGAGGTGTTTGCAAGCGGCGGTGATGTCCATTCTGCAGGGTTGATGGGTGGCGGCCAGCACTGGCCATCTACTATGCAGCAGAAAGAGGAACCACAGGGCTTGTCTATGGCTTCAGAAAACGTCAGCTGCAAGATGGTAGCGCGCCTGTGCTCAGAGGGGGCTGCGTGGTGTCCCCATGTCCCATGGTTGCATGTGCCTAGCGTGATACAAGCACAATGCAGGCATGGTCGCAGCGCACACACGGGCCTAAGCCTTGCTAGGATCTTGGTCGTGCCAAAGGTGACAGTGCTACCCTTACTGTGTGTGCGCTGGTGTGGCTTCAGTGCAGGCGCTGAGGGGCAGCGAGGCGGTGGTGCCAACTGGCTTTGTTGACGTCAGCCGTCGACCAGTGGACAGCTGGACACCAGTCGCACAACGCCCATAGCAAGCCCCGCATGCCTGGTTTTCAGCAATGAAATCGCTGATGATATGCAAGGCTCTCGCAGGGGCGCACTGCAAAGGAGCGCAGTCCCCACATGGCACCACAACGCCAGCTTCGGACAGCCAATTGGACAGTAGCCTGGGCAAGTGCGCCGCCAGCAGGCGGGTCATATTGCATGATGCTGCGGCCCCTGGTCATTTGCGCTCGTTTAACACTTGACTTTAGTGCAAACATATGCATCCAACATCATGCTCCAGACAGCACAAGGTGGCATAGGGGTCGCGCAGCATACCCTGCTGCCCGCGCTGCAGCACCTGCCCGGAGCCATTCTTAGGCGGTGTATCCATCATGCATCGACCCCTTCGCAGCCCGGGAGCCCCACTGTGGTGCCCGTGCCCTGCATGAGCACACCGTCCAGCTCCCAGGCCACAGCCCCCAGCAGTCCTGTCCCAGCAGCGCAGCAGCGCTCTCAGGAGATAGGATACCTCTTTGAACGGCTTTTTCCGCAGCAGGAGGATCAGCAGCTACGCGAGAGAGCCGAGGTTGGCCTCCAACTGCGACTTCTCGCGCGAAACCTGGGTCCCTCAACCAACGTGCTGTGTATGTACCAACTTGACTCATGCATACCATTGTTAACGTCACCGCAGAGCTACAAGTCATGCAGCACCTCATCATCGGGCTGCGGTGGGGGCTCACGGTGTGGCGACAGCGCGTCCTGGGTGGCGCAGCAGGCCGTCGCCACTGGCGGCACGGCGATGACGCCGGCGGGGGAGCTTTTGCAGGGGACTGTGGGGGCATGTGCCCCAATGATGCCCGGCAATTCGCCATCGGTCGGCATGGAGTCGGCGGTGGTGTTTGAGGGCTGCTGGCGCCGCTTCCAGCAGCGGCATGGCACGGTGAGCGCATGCGCGCCCGTGTGAGCGCGGTCAATGGGTTTGGACCCAGCAATAGGGTTGCCATGGCCTCGCTTATGGTAGCGGCATACTGTTTGTGAAGCGGCCGCGCTGCAAAGAAATCGGCACCAGCAGCAGCACTGAGCAACGGCGCTCGTGGCAACCATTTGCGCAGGCGATGCGCGTGCCTCGAGAGATCATCTTTCTCAACGGCGCCCCTGGCAGCGGCAAGGTGGGTGGCGGACTAGGCCAGGCGTCACGCCGGCGCGGCAGCGGCGCATTGATGGGCTGGTTTGGCTGACGTGGCACCTGTTTTAACACACCAGCTGCAACTTATCGGCTGCGTTTGACCTGCCCTTCTTTCTGTTCTATAAACATCGGTGGCCCATCCCTCGTGCGGGAACCCGTGCATCAAAAACGCAGGGCATCAACACGCCCCACATCCTGAAGACGCGCGGGTTTGACAGCTCGATCTGCGTCTCGTCCCTGCTGGTGAGCTCACGTCCCACCCCCTCGTCCCTGCCCCGCACGCCATGCCCGCTGCAGCGCCCCCGCGCGCCCTCGCATGCAATCCTGCGCCTTCCCCTCATCCAGCTGGCGGACGGGCACGCCCAATCGCCCCTCGTCCCACATATGCTGGCCCCGCGCTCGAACGTTATCCAGCATGCGGTAGTCTGTCGCACGACAGCGCTGCGCCCCCAACCCCCCTACCTTTGCCATCCCAGACCAGCTACCCGGACGCCCGGAAATTCATCGACGCCGGCGAGATGATATCTGACGCGGTCGTGTGCGACGCGTTGCTGGAGGACCTGCTCGGCGGCCGCCTGGGGGGCGGCGGCGCCCGGGGCGGCGGCGTGGACGGAGGGGAGTGCGCGGGTGTGGTCGTAGACGGGTTCCCGAGGACCGCCGTGCAGGTGTGTGAGCATTTTGGGGGGACGGGGCTGGGGTGGTTGCGGTCCACGGCCCTGATTGTCATACTTAACTGGCCTGCCCAGCACTGGGCGTGTTGGGTGGGCACATCTCGCGGCGGCCGCGCGGAAGCGGGGACGCGGCCACCACATGGCAGGGGGAAGGGGAGTGGGGCTGCGAGCGGCGAACGGCGCCATCCATCTTGCCCGCGCTGCGCCGGCGCTCGGCCCGCGCGCTCCCTGTTGCAAGCAAAAGTCGCAACATCCACCCCCCCCCCAAAAGACCACGTCACGCACGCCCATCCGCACCCCTGCGAAACCACCCCTCCAAAAGGTGGACTTTTTGAAGCTGCTGCACGACAAGCTGGCTGCCCTCCACCGCGCCCACGCGGAGGGCCCCCTCAGCGCGGCGTTCCCGCGGCCCGGCTTCAAGGTGGTGGTGCTCTACGTCGACGAGGAGACGTCGGTGCGGCGCCAGCTGGCGCGCGCGGCGCAGACGCAGGCGCGCAACAGGCGCGCGCTGGACGCGGGCGCGGGCGGGCTGCAGGCGGCGCGGGCGACGGACGTGAGCCTGGACAAGGCGCGCAAGAGATACACGGTGGGCGGGCTGGGCTGGGC